CAACCAGCACTGGGAACCACTTGTACCATATAACTCTAAGACGCCATTCCGAATCGACCTTCTACTCAAATACCCACGATTACAACAGCAGTAGCAGTAGTAATACCTTTGTCATCAGACACCTGTTTCTCTTTCCATGCCTAAGCTTTGCTTCCCTTGATCTTGGCTTCACTTTCAGCCAGGATCTCTCCAAGGGGTGATAAACTGACAACTAGCACATAGTCGCTTCCAAGTAATACACATTTGCCAAAATCCTATATTTCCCATAATATAAATAGAGGCATGAAATGAATCAGGAAGGAATTTTTAAGGGATGATGTGCTGTTAACCTATGGTTATATGAAAGTTAATTTTTTTATAGAAGCTGAACAGCTGGTCTCAATTTCTCCTGGGAATAGTGCAAGACAAAATGAGTTTGGTTCAGACACAAAGATAAGCGTCCTGTCAGTAAAAGTCATCGCACCTGGAATACATTACTGAGGGTACATGCCTTCCTTTCCGAGAATCTGGAAATTACCTGAGTTCCTATGTGTCTAAGAGGACTGAGTCTCGTCGACAGGCGAGGCTCTTGCAGCCCTAAATTCTGTATTAACTTTTGGCCCCCAAATGCAGCTACAGTTTGGACTACTTTCTCAGTGTCTCTCCACGAGAGCTTGTGTCTGCATCTCGCAGCAGTGGTTGCAGTCATGGTGTCGTCCAGGGCTTGGCTTTAATTTTCGCAAAGAGACTTTGTTTTCACTTTTTTTCTTGGAAACCGGGACACAGGAAGGTGATTAGACTTTTGTATTTGTTTTGTTTATTCATTTGTTTATTACTTAACTCCCCTCTCTAGAATGAGAGAATTAAATTTGTTTGATTGGTTCAAGGATGTATCCCCAATGCCTAGAACGTTTATTGAATGAATAAACCAGAAAAATAACTGGTTTGAAAGCTTGGAACAGAAGGGAGATCAGAGGCCAACTTGTGGGTGCTCCTTATTTTCTCTGCAGAGACTTTGATGTGCTTGGTCCACCTGACCAAACACAAGGTCCCTTGCCCTCTGGGGAGTGAAACCCAGGCCAGGGTACTCCCAGAGTGATAAGTACCAAAGAGAATTTGTGGTCTGCAAGCTGTCCTACCTTGGAGAGAGGTCGTTTGGTTGTAGTCATGAGCCTCAACATAGTACGTCACAGGTCACCCAATACCATCCCATCAGGAAACTGGGACGGTGGAAGGGAAGCGTGGGTGGTATGCAAAATGTGGAAGGGCTGTTTGCTCCCCAGAATATCTAGGTGCTCCGCAGGAGTTTCCAAGAGTCTTCATGTTGTGAAATCAGGGAAGGGAAGACAGATGTTTACTGAGTTGATGTCAGTGGAAAGTAATTTCCCAGGTCAACCAGTCAGAAGACTTTCACCCCCTCCTCCTTTTGCTTTCTCATTTATCTTTGCTAGTAACATTCTTTTCTTCTTTAGACACGTCAATGTTGCAAATGAAAAACATTTTACTGCTTTTTTCTGTAGAAATTCCTATTCATTGAGCCTTCCTTGGCCATTTCCAAGATTGTATTTGATAGAGGATACCCTGTCTTCATGAGAATCAGTTGCAAGAGTGATCAAGGTGGTGGCCTGAGAGCCAGGAGGGAGATGGTTTGGGGACATCATTCCACAAGTAACCCCTCCTTCCTGGGACCTGCCAATTGGCTTTGACTGTGCCAGCTCAAATTATTTTTGGATCCAACATTCTATAATTCACACTTAAGCAAGAGACAATGGAGTAAATGTTTTGAATTTTTTTACCTAGAACTTCTCTTGCCACCCACCATCTAAACATGACAGACCAAATCTTCTGAAGAGTTTTCAACACCCACAGCCTGACAACTCAGGGTAGAAAAAAACTCATGCACAATATACACTTTAAAAAGTATTTTTAGTTTCTTCCATGAAGTGACATTTTATTTTACTCTTCTTAAAAACACTTAACTGTCAGCAATGGTTCATGTCTGCTAAGATCTGCAATTTCTGTGAACGACTTGTTTAGCTCTTCAAGATGATGGACAGCTTCATCCCAATTTGTTTGCCCAGTTATAGCAGGCTCAGAGCACGTTGGTGTGGTTGCGAAACAATGGAAGTTTTCCAAGGGAAGTGGTGGAATCTGCTCTCCAAGAACAAATAGAGCCCAAGTCCTAATCTAGAATAGGATACATTTAGATGTACCTGACATGGTATATATGAGATATATCAGTGTCCTTGGGGAAAAAATGGCAGATCCAAACTGGGTAATTTGAGGGGAGTTTTAAAAATGGACGAGTTACAGCGGTGTGGGCAGGGTGTTGGGAACTAGTAAGGAAATTCCCAGGAATAGCACCAGCAGGGAGTCACCACCCCTAGGCCTTAGATGGATGGAGCAGTTATAGGAACCCAGAAAGAGAAGCTGTATAAAGAGAACTTCCTAGTCCAGACCTCACTCTCTGCCTCTCATTGGCCAAACTTGTCAGAAGCCAGATGACAAGGGAGCCTGTTGATTTAGCCTCCTGGGACACAGAGCAGGATGGAGAAGGGCGGACAATGGATTCCAGGGCAAATGGAAGATACACAATAAATGAGGATTTAAGGAGACAGAGGGGATCAAATGATTGCTCTTGTTTATTTCTGCACATTCTTTCATTGATCAAACACATATTTGTTAAGCAACTTCTACAAATGAAAGCACCTTGGAAAACACAAGTGAAGGATAGTAAGTGGTTCCTTCTCTCAAGGAGCTCTTAACTGAGTGGGGGAAACAAGACATAACCACATGGAATGTCGTAAAACGAAAGCTCAACTGAGAGTAGTAGCGTGGCAGAGTCAGGAGGGGGCAGTCAGTGTGGGCCCTGAGGGAAAGTGAGCTCTGGTGGATGAATGAGAGGATTTTAATGGCCTTTTGGGGGGTAGCGGGGAGTCTTGAAGCCTTCAGTCCCTGCCTCAGGACCCCTGTGGAATGAAAGACTGGCCTAGTGATTTCTCAGTGAATTCTAGGACTGTACAAAAACTAAATACATATACTGCTTTTCATTGACTACTTACAATGTGTCAGGCATTTTATATACAATATCTCACTGAAGCCTGATGATGATGTTGCTGAGATGGATATTATTTTCCACATTTTACAGATGAGGATAAATGAAACGCCAAGGGGTGGAGTATGTTCTCTAAGGTCACATATCTAGTGGCAGAGAAGCTGGGATTCAAAGTGGGGTGTTTCTGCCATCAAATTCCAATCTACTAACCTCCTTAAATAGTGAAGCCAATAAAGCAGTTGGCAATGGTGAATGCCTTGGGCTTAAACATTTCTCTTGGTAAAACCCCCAGGTGTTCTCAGATGACTCGTAGCTAGAACCTTTCCCCTATTTTGAGAAGCTGCTTGACTTATAAGATAGGTGTGTTTTCACATGAGGTGCCTGCACTTAGGTACAGCATTGGCATCTGAGGAAGTCGGTATTGGGGTGCTATCTTTGTATCACCCCTCTTTAAAGCCCTCTAAAGACTTCTCATTGTGCTTGGAATTAATTCCATGAACTATAGGGACAAATGATCTAGCCTCTCCTACCTCTGATTTGATCTCTTCCTATCCACCATTTTCTCACTGTGCTTCAACCACACTGGTTTTCTTTCTGGTCTATGAGCAAGTTATGCTCCTCCCCCGACAAGTTCTCTGCCCTAGGTGTTACCTCTGTATAGAATCCTCTCCTTACAAATCTTCACAAACTGGCTCCTTTTGTTATTCAGTCTCAACAGAAATGTCAGAGAGTCCTTTACTGACCATGTCCCATAATGGCCCCTCACTTAATCTCTAAAATGTCACCTTGTCTTATATTCACTGTAACATTCACCACTGTGTAGCATTTCTTGTTGCTCAGTTTACTCTGTGTCCACATGAGGGCTGGAAACTTCCAATGTCTCACGCAATGCTGGATAACCTCATGCCTTGGATAGTGCCCGACTCCTTAAATGTTTGCCAAATGGCTGAAAGAATTCATGGAGAAGAACCCTGGTCCAGAAAGAAAAGTAATAACAGCATGGTGTATTTATTATTTAATAGTCACCTACATTTCAGTTATTATTTCTGCTTATATTTCCAGATGAGAAAAATAAAGTTTAGGGATGCCCAAGGACATGCAAGCAACAGAGCAGGGCTACAACACACAGATTTTGACTCTGAGTGTGTCGCACATTCGAATCTACTATTGCTGCTCCTATGAGTTATGGCTGTGATTGTGAGGCCCCCAAGTACAGTGGCTTAAATAAGATAAACTGATTTTTCTTTCATGTGCTAGTATAGAAATGAGCGTCTTTGCCAGGCTGTTGCAGTTGTTGCCATTTCCGAGCCAGCAGAAAGGAGGAGAGAGGGAGCAGGGGGCCCACAGCTTCCTTGTGAAGACATGATTGGGAAGTTGCACACATCACCTTCACCAGAGTGGCAAGAGAAGCTGGTAGATATAATGGCTAGTGTAGAGAATATGTGCCCAATTAAAACTTTGCAAACTCTATTAATAAAAGGAAGAAGGGGAGATTAGATGTAGGGGACAATAAGCAGACTTTTAGGCCTTATAACAACCACATTAGGTAGAGATTAGTATCATTTCCATTTCACATTTGGAGAAACTGGGGCTTGAAGAGGTAAAGATCACACCATTAGTCAGTGAAAGAGCAGAACTCTTGACAAAACTTCACTGTCATTCCCCATTTTATCATTTATTTTTGTCTGTCTCTCTGTCTGTCCTTCTCTCATGCACACACACACATATACACACACATGACTCAGTGTTTCATGCTTGGATGGGATTTACCCCATTTTCATCCTTGGAGTGTCATTCAGTCTTAACTTCTTAGAATTCAACCAACAAGGAGAAGGAAGTAAGTAGAGGTGAGTGTCCCAAGGGCTAGGGCCCTGTCGGTCACTCCAACAGCAGAGCTTGCCGCCCCTGGGTGCATTGGGCTCCTGAGGAAGCTGCCTCTGGGGGCAGCGTGTACTAATGAGTCAGGACCTGTGTCTCAGGTGGAGGGGGTTGAATGTGCACCGGGGGCTTATAAATGATGAGGGGCAGGGGTCCCTGACTCCCAAGCAACAATAACAAACAGGCCATCAATAGGTATATTGGCCATATGTCCTTGTGTACTGGGATAATCCTTGTTTACAACTGCTGTCCCAGTGTACTTATTAAAAGTGTCCCTCTCGAAAGTACACCAGTTTGGATGATAAATTATATGGTCACCCTACCAATAGCCCTATGTTACCATAGGTGCTAAGCCTTAAAATGTTGGGGCAAAAACTATGGAGATGTTTAATAGCTAACTAAGCAGGAGAGATGCCTAAATATGAGTCCCTGAATTTTATTGCCATTGTAAAGTCACAATAAGAAACTGATCAACGATTCAAATTAACAGTAATTCCATGACGCTGGATAAACCCAAACAATCTAATTATAAAATTTAATTTTATAATTCATTCTTAGATTACCACACAGAGTAAAAATGTCTTGGAGCGTGTTTTCTCTGCAGAATCATTAATGATTAAAATATCTGCTAACAGATGCATGCATAGTTACCAATTATTCAAACCACATAAGACTTTATAAAATTCCGTCTATGAGAGGTATTCAATAAATACCCTAGAATTCATCTATTTCACGTCCATGCCCTTTGGTTTCAATGACATTCTCATTTTTCAAAACAATATTGAGTTATGATGAACATGGAGTTTCAGAAAAGTTCTTCCCAGTGTATTAAAATTTACTCAATTTGTAACACCACAATTTTATCCCTTAGAGGTCATCATTGACACTCCATATCTATGAATGTGACCAAAAATTTCCTGGAGGGAGATTTGCAAAATGACAGTTCTCAAGGAACTTTGTGATTTGGAGTCAGAAACGTGTAATTAAAGATCAACACAAAAAAGAGGTTTCTGCTCCTTGAAGTTAGAATGAAATACAGGACATACTCATTATCCAAGGATAATGAGTAAAATAAAAAACAGCAATGTATAGCGAGCTCACTTAAAATAGGGACCAAAATTTCATTTGCTGTTGTTAGTGCCGTCCGGTAGATGCCGACTCCTAGCCATGCTGCGTACAGCAAAGTGGAACCCTGCTCCATCTTCTTGTGCCATCCTCTCACCTCCCGGCGCTGTATCAGACAATGCTCCGCTGCTATTCACAGGGTTTTCATTGACAATATTTTTCGGAAGTGGCTGGTCAGGTCCTTCTTTCCAGTCTGGAAGCTCTGCTAAAACCTGTCCACCGTGGGTGACTCTGCTGGTATTTGAAATACCAATGGCATAGCTTTCAGAATCAGAGTAACACATGGCCACCACAGTGTGACAACCAACAGAAGGATGGTGTGGTTCCCTGATCCGGAAACGAACCTGGCCGTGGTGGCCGAATCTTAACCACTAGATCTGCAGGGTTGGCCAAAATTTCATAGTAAATGTTGAAAACAAAAAAAGCCTCCATAGGATTTAATGAAATTAAAAACTATACAGATTTTGGTGTAACTTTCCAACAAAACTGTACTTCGGCATATACCATATTTCATTTGATGCTTGGTTTTCACAACGTGACTATAAAGAGCATCATTTAACAAAAATGTGTGAGGGCTTCGTTGGTCTCCCCAGGGGATTCTCTTAAACCTTTTCATATCCAAATATTCTCTGTTGGAGTGCTTAGCCTGTTGGGGTGCTTAGCCTGTCAGCCTTCATGTGCTTTATTCTTCTCAGTTGTCAACCAGTCTAACTCCACTAGCTCCTTGTTTACCAAAGTCTTTGTGTGTGTGATTTTGAGCAGTTCTCTACATCACTTCCATCAATCTCATGAAATTCTGCTTCTTTCACAAGATTTTCATTTCGCTTTGCAACCAATGTGCATCATATTGACAGGGCTTTGCTGGATATTCTAAACAACAGTAATCTTGGAATCTGAACAAGAAAGACAGTGATGTAATTGGTGGGAGTCAACACTAAACGGAGCAGAATATTTGAATGGGAAATAACTTAATGCTGTTTGGTCCATTAGATAATACAGTATTTTCCTTAATAAAGCCTCCCATGCCCACTGAAAGCAGTAGGGCCTTACATGATGAACTCTAGGGTAGCCAGGACCCCCTTGTACTTCAGGCTGGAGTCCCAACTCCATCAACTTCTTCTACGGTCTTGAGCAAGTCATTTTATCTCAGTGATCCTTCAAGTCCAAAAAACCCAGATTCTTTTTCTGGGCTCCAAGGAGTCCTGCGTATGTTTTAATGTGCATGTTCTCAGGAAATGTGCTCTTATGTTTCCTCAAATTCTCAAAAGAATCCAAACCACCGATTGTGAAGTATCTCACATGATCTTTAAAGTTGCTTCCAGTACTCACATTCTCTGATTTCTGATTTTCCCTGGGTCAAACTATCTGTGGGTAACGAAAGGGGAGGGTTGAGTTAGGTCCCAATAGAAAAACCTATGAACTGTTACCTGTAATCAGTGTTTAAATGTAGGTAGGTAATCCGTCTACTCTAACCAACAATCTACCTTCCAGCAATACCTTGAAACTTATTTTGAGAAACTAAAGATTTACAAGTTTTTTGTTTCAGGAGAGGCAGAATGCAATACGGAAGATTTAATGGTGCATGTGCAAATCATTAGAGAAATACTGGGCACTCAGCTAAATCTATTTCCTAGGATTTGAAACATCACTAAACAACCACCATCTTGTATTAGTAATTAATTATGACTAGAATCACTGCAAACATTGGAAGCAGAAAGAATGAAAATGATACATAGTATCTGATGAGGACAGAGCAAGTAGGTTTTCTGAAAACAGTAGTAACTGGGCCTTTAATACAGTTATTCCAAACCTTGACATCATCATAACTATAACTTTACTAAATGCTAAATTTACATTCTAAACTCTAAAGAGACCTCAACATGATATTCTTGTAATAGCAATATGAGGGGAAAAAAGAGAAATTGCTTTGAAGACATCAGCTTCACTTCAAGGCTCTTTAGACTCTCTTTCGTTGGACTCAAAGGATCCGAGTCTCATTTATTTATCTATTCATCAGAAATGGGAGGGACTCAGGATGGGGAAATCTTGTACAAAACTATTGCACTAGTGTAGGCCTGCACTCGTGAAATCTTGAATGACAATATTCAACAGCAGATGGCCAAAGGCCAAGGACTTTAGGAAAAGAGTTGATGTTTTTTATTTAGCATTCACAGGCAAATAGAGCCTATCCTTCTGTCAGTGTGGGGCTTGAGAAGTTTATGGAAAAACCTGAAGCAGGTTATAGAGACTGAGTTAATTCAAATATAATCAGAGGCTAGGACAGGGAAACTTGTTAAAGTGATTTACCAATCTGCTTTCTCAGCCGTAGAAATTTTTTGATTTTTAAAAGGCTTTGAGAGATTAAATTTGTTGAACTGCTGATTAGACCACGCTTCCTTACAGACATGAAAAGGCACATGCACAAAATGATTGAACCTGTTTGGAAAAACAAAGAGCAGAGCTTACTAATTCAAGTATATGCCAGGCTTTAGACTCAAATTGTATGGAAATATTAAGCAACTCACAATAGGAATCATTTCCTATTGCCAAACTGCCATGAGCTTAATAAACTCACAGATTTTCAAAAATTGCACCATGGTGAAAGTAAATTAATAGTTTCAGAAGAGATATGTAGGTTTTTATGATGATGTAGCAGTGGACATTTTGGACAGGTGTGGTCATTTGCCTTGTCAGCATTCATGTCCTCCTTTCTTGTGGTAGCCCCTCCTTTTCAGTGGGGCCACCCCTTCCCCTCTGTCAGTCCCTAAGTCTGTGAGACTCCCTCCAAGGCTCCAGGGGTGATATTGTGCTCAAACTTGACTCAGCCCTGAACAATTACAGCACTACTTCCTTTTGGTCACAGTGATTGGAAGAGTAATGGGTATGGCCAAAGCGGTTGTAATGACATTGAATCTCTGGGCTGTTGAGGAGACTACTGAAAATAATCCTCTTTTTCTGGATTCAAACGTAGGAGGGTGTGAGGGTGTAGCTGCTGTAGCGACTTTGTCAGGCACCATCTTCGGGAGCCCGAGAATGATACATTGTTACCATCCAAACCTCAGACCTCATTCCAGTTTAGGCAAAAAAGGTCCAGCTCTGAATCACGCACTGTGCTTAATTATCATGTCTCTGAGGTCCACTCTAGTCTGGAACAGTTCCTCAGTTTTTCTCTGACGTTCCTGACCCTGAATCTTTTGAAGATTACAGGCCAGTTATCTTTGGAGTGTTCCTCAACGTGGGTTTTTCTTTGGCTTTAGCACTGGAGTGTTCAGGAAGGGAAGAGGAGGAGGTAGGTTTTTCGATTATTTCAGTAAAATTTTTGTGCTTTTAAAAATAGTTTTGGTACTGATAATGAACCATTCTTTTTGGTCAGAAAGAAAGAAAGAGAAGGAAATTTCGGGGGTTTCCAGGTGGTAGTCTGGTCCTCTCTTACGCTTTCTGTCGAGGGCAATGGGTGAAGGAATTATTTCTGTTTTGAAAGGAGCAGCTCCCAGCAGAGTGGAAGTGCTTGTCCCCTTAATGGGTAAGGGAGGCAATAGGCCTGCGGAATGACCACTGTTGCCCTAACCTTGTGGTGCATCAGCTTGGTTCTTCAGCACCACTTGCACCTCATAGTGGATTATTGCACACAGACTTCAGAGGGCCCCTTGGCCCACGGCTCTGGCCTCCTTAGCTGCCCTAGCAACTTGACCCTCAAATATACTTTTCTCTTGCTGCAGAAAAGATCATCTCCTAGGAGAATTTTTAATTTACCTTCAAAGCTTTGAACGTAAATTTGGGCCTTGTGTTTAGTGCACGACTTAAATGGAACCCCTGCTGTTCAGGAGAGTGGATTACTGGTGGACTTAATTATTATTTATGAATTCCGTGAAAATCTAGACATCATTTTATCCTGATCAGAAATTACAAATGACTGTTAAAGAAGGCATGAGTTTTTAAATATGTAGCATGTTTATTTATACACACAGGAGGTGATGGAAGTTTGTACTTGTGTGTTGGAAATTGAATTTTAGCAAAACTTGGCAAGACGAGCACGGGGACCTCCTGACAATCCACGTGACAATGAATGACTGGACCCCCGACTGCGCACCTGGCTGTCTCCCCATGGGCCTATGGAGCCCTCCCAAGAAATAGCAATGAGGAAGGAGTTCATGCCAGGGCTGCAGACCCCTTGGGAAAAGCCTCAACTTGTTTTAGAAAACATGCCTGCTTGTTTTCTTACTTTTCTGGAAAAGATTAGGGAAATTCTTGCCCCTTAGAGTTCTTAAAAGGGTAAAGTATGGGAGCCGGCCCTATGGCCCAGTGGTTGGGTTCGTGCACTCTGCTTCAGTGGTCCAGGGTTCACCGGTTCGGACTCTGGGACATGGCACTGCTCATCTGGCCATGCTGTGGTGGTGTCTCATGTAGAAGAGCTAAAGAGAGGAAGATTGACCACAGATGTTAGCTAAGAGCCAATCTTCCTCAAAAAAAAAGAAAGGTCAAATATGATTGCGATTGAGTGAAATCTTGGACTCTTAATCTCTGCCTTGAGGGGAATTCCAAAAGGATGAGAACATTCCCCACTTCAGAAGGGTCTCCTTTCCAAGTGCAGCAGAAGGTCTGTTGTGATGGAGACAGGCCCTCTCTTCCTAGCACAATGTCAGCTGTAATTATGGTGAGCCTCAAAACGGAGGGAAAGAAAATAGCAGTCCTGTGACAGAACAGCTGGCTTATAAGATAGTTTTCTAAACAAAAATTATTAACAACAAAACTTTGTAAACAAAAATCTTTGAGGATGAATAAAACTGTGTTCACTGAATCCTTAGGTTAAAACACACGCATGCACACACAGAAACACATGACATAATTTCAGTGCGTTAATTTTGCTTCAAAAATTAACGTACATCATGGAAATCCCTGTGTGCATTTCCTTGAGGGCTTTTTCTAGAAAAAAAAAGTTTGCTGCAAACTTTAGCTTGCGTAAGATTCATCCAGGAATCTGTTTACAATGAAGATTCCTCAGCTTCACCCCTTAAGACTGTTTCAAATGGTCCAAAAAGTCCTTTTTGGGAAACAACAAATTAGAGGGAAAAGAGGAAGGGTGTCATAAGAGGGCAGACAACTTACTGTGACACAGGCGTGGGGACTTGACCCTGGCCTCTGGGCTGCAGATTGCTGGGAGAAAGGCGATGGTTGAGCCTCCCTTGGAAAGGAAGCACTTATAAAATTATACAAGTAATATAACTATATTTCATTCAGCTTTTTAAAAAAAGAAATTTTATGATCCAATTACTCTAACATGTTAATTCTTATCTATTACTTCATTTCTATCTTCTTTTTTCAGATGCCAAATTTTCCATAGTTATAACCACAGAATATACGTTTATAAAATTGTATCTCTTCCTCTCCTCTTGGTTTTATTCACATAAGTCTTATTCCATATCTCTACCAGGTCCCCCTAAACATAATGTTAAAGCGCTCCATATTGCTTTGTTGATTGGTTTCACAATCATTTACTTTATCATGTCCTACTGGTGAACATTTAGTTTGCTTCCAATTTTGCTGTGTTGAATACCACCATTACGATAATCCTTTGATCATTTGGGTTAAATGCTAAGGTAGATTCCCCTTCATTTTGGGCATCTTGTGTTTTAACCCATGAAAGTTCTTCCCTCACTTTCTTCCTCTCAAGTCAAGGCCCAGGTACAGTCTATGCGCCTCAAGAGTAGAGCAGTTGAGGTTTAGGAAGCAACGAATTTTCAGCCAGTCAAAACTACTAAAGGATACTAAGAAGGAAGGGAACATCTTTCTGTGCTAGAGATTGTCCAGGTCTCTGGAATGATTGTAAAAACAAATGAACAACCAAACAACAAAAAATCCCAAGAATCTTGCAGGGCTCAGAGAAGAGCTTATAAAGTTTTTGGGAATGGAGGGAAAGGAGAAGAATGAAAAATAAAATGCAACCTGAGAAGGCGGTTCAAGATGGCGACATAGGAAGATCCTGAATTCATCTCCTTCTACAGACAGACCAAATCTACAGCTATGTATGGAACAATTTACTTTGAAAAAGACCCAAAAACTAGCTGAGCAACTCCTTCACTCTGGCAAAGGACAAAAGGCCACATTCAAGAGTGTAAGAAAGGCTGAGACACAATCTCACCATAAACCCCATCCCCCACACAGTGACCCACAACTGGGAAGGAAGTCAAAAACCCAGAGCCTCTCCCTGAGGAGAGAAGAGTTCATACTCCACATCAGACATCCCAACATTTAAGACCTGCACCTGAGAGATAAGCCCCCAAAACATCTGGCTTTGAAAACCCATGGGACTCGGGTCCATGAGAACCAAATGGCTGTAGTGCACTGAGAAACCCCTCACCTGTCCAGGGCCCGGCACAGAAGCAGACATTTGAAAAGGGCCCAGACTTTATCAAAGAGATTCATTTGCTAATAAAGCATTGGTTGGAGGGGCAGGGGCCAATTGGAATGCTCAATGGAGATGAAGGAGCTGGCAGGTGGCATTTTCACGCTCTTCCTCTGCCACACTACAGCTGCAGATGTCATCTTTTTTTTCCCCTTTCTTTCCCTCTAGACCTTCTTATTTTTTCCTTTGTCAGGTATCATCTTCACACTCTCCCTCTGCACACTCCACAGCACCACTATCTCCCAGAGGGGAGATTTACATACATCTGGTGCCCCAGTTCTCATGTATGGTGTCCTAGATTTTGCTTCTGCAGTCCAGGTGATGTCCCTTGATCACCTGGCTCTGGAGGCCAGGGGGTCTTGGTTCCTGGGGCCCATGGGACTATAAAATCAGAGAGATAATTCTTGGCTGACTACCGCCCCCAGGACACTGCACAGATAGCAGACTGAAACACACCTCAGTCTACGTGAGAAAGAGGCCTATTTACTGCTCCTGAAGCTTCAGCCTGAGAGGCAGGCTTCAGGTTTGGCATATTTCTAGAGGTCTGTGGAGGTACTCCCAAGGAATGTAAGCTGAGGGACAGCATCTTGTGCTTTCCTTCTGCCTTGCTCCAGCTCACTGGTATCTGTCAGTGTTGCAATCCAATGTACACATCAGGATAGATGCGGAGAGGGCTGATGGCCACTCTGAGTTTATTATAACCAGTGTTTCAATATATACATAGCTTACATCTATTAAACATCACAGGTGTTCTGGATGAAGTAATTAGCAAATGCCAAGAATTCTTAGTGATTTCTCAAGGAGCCCTCCCTTGGCCTCTGTTTTGATATTATCATGTTATTGCTGTGCTTGTATATTTTTATCTCGGAGCAGGCAAGGCCTCCTAGGCAACGGCCCCTCCTGCTCCTGATATTGATATCCTGTCTCCATCTGTGCCCCCGGGCGACTGTGCCTGTCTTAGGTTGCCCCACCCTGGAGGTCTTACCTGTCATGGCTGACCGGCCTTCTCACCTCCGGATCACAGTTTGTTGGCAAGCCTTTTCCAGTGATTATTAACACTTCCTGCATCAGGGGCGGCTATAGTATCTCCCAGAAAGGAGCTTATACACTTGCCTGGAGCCTCGATTTTTGTGACTGTCACCCAGAGGACACCTCCAGATCACCTAGCTCTGGTGGTCAGCAGGCAGGGCTTACTCTTGAAGTCCCACAGGATTGCATATATTTGCATAGTTTTAAAGCTGCTGCCTGAGGGTCTGGCTTCCAATCACCATGAACCTAGGTGCTGAGATCACCAGCTGTGGGACACGGACAGGTCTTGGCACACCCTCAACTATAAGAGCTATTAAAAATAAAATAGGCTGCTTGGACAAGCACAAAGGTTTGAGAGACAATCAAGAGCTGTGGCAGGGTTGAACAACAAGGTTCATCTCCTACATAAGGCCACTCCTCCAAGACTGGGAGAGAAAGCTGTTTCCTCTAATGAATAGAAACAAACACAGAGAGTTAAGCAAAATGAGGAAGCAGAGGAATATTTTTCAAATGAAAAAACAAGATAAAACCTCAGGAAAAAATCTTCATGAAATGGAGACAAGTAATCTGCCTGATAAAGAGTTCAAAGTACTGGTCATAAAGAGGCTCATTGAACTTGGGAGAAGAATGGGTGAACACAGTGAGAACTTGAACAAAGAGATAGAAAATATAATAAAGTACCACATAGAAGTCACAGAGCTAAAGAATACAATAACTGAGCTGAAAAATACTCTAGAGGGGTTCAAAAGCAGGTTAGAAGAAACAGAAGAAAGGATCAGTGAACTCAAAGACAGGTCAAAGGAACTTGCCCAATCAGAATAGCAAAAATAAAAAAGAAGTTTAAAAAGTGAAAATAGCTTAAGGGACTTATGGGACATTTTAAGCAGATTTGCATTATAGGGGTTCCAAAAGGAGAAGAGGAAGAGAGAGAGAAAGAAGCAGAAAATTTATTTGAAGAAATAATGGCTGAAAACTTGCCTAAACTGGGGAAGAATATCCAGATCCAGGAAACCCATATATTTCCAAATAAGATGAACCCAAAGAGACCCACACCAAGACATATTATAATTAAAATATCACAAGTTAAAAACAATGAGAGAATCTTAAAAGCAGCAAGAGAAAAACAACTTATTACATACAAGGGAACTCCCTTAAGACTATTAGCAGATTTTTCAAAAGACACTTGCAGTCCAGAAGGGAGTGGCATGATACATTCAAAGTGCAGAAAGAAAAATACTCCAACCAAGAATACTTTACCTGGCAAAGTTATCATTCAATTCATGCATCAATGGACCTATATACACTGGAATAGTATTCAGCCATTAAAAGAATGAAACCTTGCCATTTCTGGCAACATGTATTGAACTTGAGGGCATTATGTAAGGGAAGTAAGTCAGATAGAGAAAGACAAATACTGTATGATTTCACTGATATGTGGAATCTTGGAAAAAAAAAAAAAAACAGCAAGCAAGCTCATAGATACAGAGAACAACAGATCAGTGTTTGCCAGAGGCTGGGGGATGGAGGTGGCTGCAATGGGTGAAGAGAATCAAAGGTACAAACTTCCAGTTATAAAATCAATAAGTCGTGGGGATGTAATGCACAGCATGGTGACGATACAACTGTATTCATATTTGAAAGTTGTTAAGAGAGTACATCTTAAAGTATCTCATTGCAAAGAAAAACATTTGTAACTATGTATGGGGAGGGATGTTAACTAGACTTAGTGTGGTGATCATTTCACAATACATACAAATATCAAATCATTTTGTAGTGCACCTAAAACTAATATAATATTATATGCCAATTATACCTCAATAAAAAATTAACATAACCTGAAAGCTTAAAAAATAACTAACCTTTACTGACTGCTTACTAGTGGGGACTTCGACAGGGTCTGAATAAATAGCACCCTTCTTTCCTGATCAGATGCTAAATAAACTGAGAAATAAACAAAAGAGCAGCAGATAGTGGCCAAAATAACACCTTTGCTACTGATAAAGCTATGATGGAGGAAATGGCTTATTTCTATGGGCAAATGCTTTTCTCCAGGACCACTCCTAGGGTGTGCAAGGCTCTGGGAAATATTTTTGTTGGGCCCTTGTCTATATAAACAAATTGATTAAAAAATATATTTATAAAATGCATCAGCCCATGTGAGGGATTGTGACTTATCAATCAAGATTTAGAACAAATAATGAATAAAGACATGCTTACATATTTGTCTGTGTTCTCATCAGTGCATGTGATGATTTTTCATACTATCCAGGCACCATTTCTTCCTGCCCAGCTCCAGGAACCATTTATTCATGTTCTTTATTATATGCACTGTTCCTGGCTAATTTCATATTTCCTACAGTGAGGAAATGATAGCAACAGCATTATTACTCATGATGATGTGGCCTTCCAGAACCTGTTTGTATTGAAACAATATAGGTCTTCTGGCCTCTGCAGTTGCCTAATTCCATTTATTTAATGCTGGTTGCATCATTACTCCTGATGCTACATCATCCACAGAGTCGCCTGTGAATACCAGCTTCTGATGACTCTATCAAAGGTTGTTTTTGTGCTTCATTGACGATGACCGCTTATGCAAGTGTTATCCAGAGTATGCAGGAAAATGTGAACAGTAGTTTATTTTCTAGATATGTTAAATTTACTGATCTGAATTTTATACCATAAACAGAAGAGTATAGCTTCCAACTCCATCCTCTCTTGAACTCCTTAGGCCATATCCACTGCATTCCTAGAAGATGATCTCTTTAATGTGGACCCTGCTCTTGCCTTCCACACCCCATCAGCAGGGAGGAGGAGTGATGGATCGAAGGAGAAGAGCAATTTCTTTTTTTTTCTGAGGAAGATTTGCCCTGAGCTAACATCTGTGCCAATCTTCCTCTATTTTGTATGTGGGTCGCCATCACAGCATGGCCACTGATGAATGGTGTAGGTCCACATCTAGGAACTGAACCCAGGCCACCAAAGCAGAGCATGCCAAACTTAACCAATAGGCTATGGGGCTGGCCCTAAGAGTGGTTTCTTTTGCGTAAGAAAAGCTGATCCCTCATCCAGCACAGTTTAAGGCCAACCTATGAGAGCATGACGTCACCACAGTTGGAGCCAGGAGAGGACATGGATGGAGAGGGTCTGCTGGTGCAACAGTCTCAAGTGTCCTCAGAGGAGATGGGCATAGCCACGCAGGAAACCTGCTAGGGGTGGGTGACTGCCCCAGGTGATAGCAGTGGGGGTGAAACAGGTAAAGGACACCTCCTGGCCCTCACCTGAAGTGCCATAGACCAGGTGGCACTTCAGGGATATAGGCCCACATATGCAGCTCAAGCCAAGCCCTGATCTTGCTTTGCTTCTGATGTGAATGAAAGGTACTCCAAATCAGCGTGATTCTGGTGGCCTAATCTTGCTCACTCTTGCAAAAGAAATACCCTACCATTCAGTGGGAGGGAGTTGCTGGCCAGATCACCCTCCCGGAACCAGAGTCCAGACATGGGGCCTCAGAATGACCCCACAGATATGAGTCGTGGAACTTCTTGGGGCGTCTCGTTGAGTCCACTTGCAGGGTGGAGGGGGAGAGAGCACCCAGAAGGCAGACACAGGTCTGGGGCGCACACTGAACCCCACCCAGACGTTGCTGCCTGTCCAGTCAGTTCCAGACCCTGGAAGGGGACTCGAACATTTTGAGGGAAGAACTCCAAGGCGCAGGACCCCTGTTTGCAGTGAAGGGCTGGGCAGGTGTAAGGGCAGTGCTGCTCTTCTTAATAGTGACCTCCAGAACTAGCCTGATGTGCTGTCACTACCACGCTGGGGCAGATGAGGGCTGCTCTCCGAAAAGCAGAGGCAGCTGCTTACTTCCAAGAGAGGAAAAGAAGTTGAGACAAGCATGCCAGTTCACTCACCCTGATTCTAACTGGATCAAGCCACTTCCCAACAAGTGAGGGGTGGAGAGAGGCCAGGAGTGTCTCTGCAGCGGAGTTCCCTCTACACGGAAGGAAACATTGGGAATGGGAAAGAAGCGTTCCTACCCAAAACTTACTCCGTGCCTGACAGGATCCTAAGTACTTTACGTGTATTAACTCACTCAATTCGCATAATGACCCTACAAGAGAAATATCATATGTCTCTCTTTTATAGATGAGGCAACAACACATGGAAGTCAAGCAAGCTCCTCAAGATTTCACAGCTAGTACATGGTCAGACTTAGGATTTAAACTGAGATAATCTGGCTGATGAGGAAGGAAGGAAGGAAGGAGGGGCAGGAGGGAGGGAAGAAAGGACAGAGAAGAAAAGGCTAGAGTCTGTCACCTCTGGAGTAACTGGCAGGATTGAGGGCTTTTTTCTTCCCTTATAACTTGGAGGAGTGTGTAAACATTGCCTCCACTTTCCTCTTCCCAGGCTCAAGAAAGTCTGCACAGAACAACTCTAAATTGTATTTCCATTTGAAAAGAATAAATATTCTCCTTGGGTGCAATGAGTCTTATCCTCACTTTTGTAGACATCATCTCTGACATGAACAGGTCACTAGAAAATGCTGCTACTCAATTTACAAGACAAAATGTTCCCTTCATTGTGATGTTTTTTTTTTTCACCCAGCAGGTTTCCTACTTCAGGACCACGAAGCAATCACCGGCTCCTACAGATTATTAATCAGTGTTGTCGTCCTTATAAAACTTCAAATTTCACCCTGTACTTTCATTTTGATAAAGGGCCTGCTGCAAAGGAAGTTTGCAGAAATGCGAAGGCAGCCTGGACTCCTGTCTAGCAGAGATGACATGAGCCTAACCGCCAAGCCCGGAAAGGAGGAAACATTGCTTCCCATGAAGCCTCCTGCAGACTTTCTAGGGGTGAACTACACTGGCAAACAGGTTGCAGGCTAGACGGTAGAGTTTTTGCAAAGAGACTCCAACCAGAGAAGGACAAACTACTTCTTTTAAGACATGAATTACAGGCATCTTTCCGAATGCAGTGCAACTCCACTTTTATAGCACTTTGGGAGCAGAGCATTACAACAACGCCATCTCTTAAAGTGTGCAGGGAAGGAAGCTACTAGACGGAACAACTGTGAAATATCCCACAGCAAACAGAGAGGTGGTGGGGGACGTAGGGCAGTAGAGCTGTGAGCAGGGACAGCTCTCAGCCCCCAACCCCTCTCTCCTGCACTTAAGGTGGACATACAGTCCCAACTGTGGCCTGAAATGAGCCGATGAGTTAGGCAAAGCCTATTCACCATCCTTGACTATCGGAGACCCATATGGTTTTAGAAGGGCCTCTGAGAATGTGTCAGCCAGTGGAGGTTGGAATCAACACAACTTTCCTAGGGGACACTGCCCTTTTATGAGGAAAAGGAACAACTATATATACTTAAATATACATATGGTGTATTTTTTTGCCAGTATGATAAAATGTTAATGATTCTTAAATCATCAAATCCACTGCAGATAGATGATGTATATGTAGGGGTTTGTTGTATATTCTTTTAATTTCTCATGTATTTTTGAGATGTTATTAAAATATTTTTTAAAATATTGACACTTCTATTTTAAAATCCCTTAGGAGTCTAACATTTGTGCCACGCAAGGGTGCCAAATACCTGTTGAGAAATTCTCAGTTGCTGGAAGCTAGAGAATCAGTGACATTGGCTTTTATTTTCTAGCCCTTCCAGCTCTCCCGCTTTCCCACTATGTTCTCCCTACCCCAAGCCTTTCCTAATTTAAAACCGACCCAAAATGGAAGCAGAAAAATAGCAACTCACAAGCAAATGTCTTGATCTGCTTCTTTGTTATTATTTTCCCACTTTGTCTGCTGGAAGCTGAGACCTATGCACAAAGCGGGCTTGTAGGTAAACACAACCTATTTCTGATCTAACCTTAGCTGCTGCCCTGACTCACCCGAGGATTACACTGGGCAAGAAAGCAAGGGCGGAGCTTTTGGCAGAGTGGACGAACTGTGTTTGGAGTCAGAAAACCTGAATTCAAGGCCTAGATCCAACATTTTCTGGCTGTGTGATCATGGGCAAGCCACTGCCTCTTCCTTAAGTGAGGTGATACATTGGTGATTTGTTAGTTTTTCATTGAATCTAAATACAAAGCAGTCTATGAAGACAAGCACCTTTGCCAACTTGCTTTGGCAAACCTCTCCCAGGTTCCTGTGGTATGTGTTACTGGAGATGATGCCATAGGTACTCATTAACCAAAAGGATTAGCTGTCTGGGACAGAGACTAATTAGGAGAGGGCAAGCCCATGTAGAGTGGATTTTGTGTGACTAACAGGGACCTGACATTTACCCCTATTCAATCACAACCTGCTTTCAACCCAGGTCTTACCAGTCTGTGGAAATACAACAGGTTTCCTTTGACCACGTCATTGCTGTTGCTTATTTAGACGTGTGGATAGTGTTCACTGGCACTATGGGTACCACAGGGACTGACAAACGAAAAATAGTGGAGGCAGAATTCTCTCTGCAGTGGATTTGAAAGTAACATAAACTTCTCCATCTGCTGAGATCATTTTTTTCAGGTAGGAGAATAAATCAACGTAATATGTTTAGGCTCCTCTCCTTAGCCTCTTTGGGCTTATTCTCTATGGTTATTAATACAGATAATTACCAATTTCTGAGTAGTTTTGGGTCCAAATGTTTAGCGTTTTCATCTCCATTGAAACAATGTTATAAAGGGCTATTGAACTCGCAAGTTAGTCTGCAAGAACTATTAGTACTCTAGCTGAAACTTACTTCATCTATACTTAACTTGAGTGTGAACTCACCCACGTGGAAGGCAATATAACAAGGCAGTTAAGAGCACTGGAATAGATTCCTGAGTACCTTACTTACTAGCTGTGTGACCCTTGCCAACTACTTAACCTTCTGCTGCCTTTTGGAGATTAGAATAGTCTACCTCTAAGAAGTTTTGTTGGGACTAACTAAGAAAAAGCACATAAAACTACCTATAAGCATTCCTGGCATATAGTACGTACTCAATAAATGTTTGCTAATTTACTCTTACTGTCCTACATCTTTTCTGCACCTCTTATATTCATAACCAAAGTTTACTTAGCTAAGAAACTCACTCAAATTCTCTGCAGTAATGGCTTGTGTATGTGTCACTATAAAGGATGCCCATATTTGGTGTGGGTAGCAGATGGGGACGAAAAGTAAGAAGATGCCTCGGGAAAGGAAGGAGCCATGACTGTTTCTATGTCGTACTGTTCCACCGGTAACAGGGCTCAGCTTCCTTCCCTCCACTACAGTTGGCTTCCTCTTCAATCCACTCTCACTTATCTTCTCTCACTCGCAGTTTCTAGTTGCTCTAATTTTCTGCTTCTTCATCATTTCAGCATTACATGGCTATTCACAACTTTAATATCCCTCCTCATGCAACCCTTTTGCTTCAGCTCCCATTTCCTACTGGGAATTCTCTCTTTCTCAACATAAAATAGCGAGAGAACCAGGCTGGCTTGCCTTAACTTTAGCACCTGTTTATTGGCCAACCTCTGAAGGGACGGGCCTTGAAGCAGGTGCCTACCACCAGTCTAATTAGCTGTAGCTGGACGGAGTGGAGCCTTGTGACCTGCAGTGTCCCATCCCTTTGGCAGGGGCTATGGGAGCTGGGAGGCAATTCATGGGTGTCTTGTATTTCTCATGTCTTCTGACCAAGGGGCATCGACAGCTTTGTTCTGTACTGTCCTTTTAGAGTGTGCATAGAAAAGTCTTAGAAGACAGATATATTACCATCTCCTACCCCCAGATCAGAGGACAGATTTGTTTCCTTACCAAGATAACAAATAATGTTTTGCTCTGGGGCAAAGGTTAGGCAGACTTGCCAGCAGCCCTCTTACAAGACTGGGGTTACCTAAGCTCGAATTTCCTCATTTGTGACACAAACTCACCGTGTGTGCGGCACCCACCGGGGCCCAGCTCTGCATCATCCCCAAGGGACACAGGGGCAAAAGGAACTGACCCAATCATGAAGCTTGTGCCGACTGCCATGTAGTGAGAAATAATCTTGTCTCTGATCCAGGGGGTCTCATATATTCTGCCAGAATCTATGAAAAGCGTTAGCTTGTAAGCAGGGTAAAATCTCAGACCCTCTGCAGCTCTGGGCAATGAGAAGGGATGTTTCAGGCAGAACAGTTGTGGCAGGCACTGTGGTGAAGCCATCTAATACGGCCTCTACTCTGCTTCCTCTTTATAGTTTTACCTATATATGGGTTAAATAAGCTCTAAGGGATCTCCAGGGCCTTACTTTGGGGAGAAAAGGCATTACACAGTAATGGGGGTGAAGGGGAGACAAGAACCCAAAGGATGGTGCAACATTTTGCCTTCCCTGAGAGATCCTATCCTGGGCATGCCCCAATTTGGCACCCTTGTATACCATGGTGCTGCTGCAAAGTCAGGCAGGGACTGTCTCAATGAGACTGTGCAGCTGCACAGCACTTAGTACCCGTGCTACCCAATGTGCTTTCCCATGTGGTTCATTCAGCTGCTGTGAGTCACGATGAAGCAAGTTTGACAAGCTGACAGTGGTGCTTACTCCTTGTCAATCCCTTAGTAAGGGGGTTTCCAGGGTATGTCAGCCCTGGTCCACCAGCACGGTTACAAAATATATAGAATATCTTGCATCAGAGGTTACAGAGCCAGCAGGAAAGCTTCAGAATTACCTGCTTTATGTTCCATTTTCTGGGTAAAAACACACTGGACACTTATATGTAAATGCCTTAGAGCACAGAGAGTAGAATGGAAGGTAATAAAAATATAGCACAGGAAATAATGGGGAAACACTTTTCAGTGTTGCTTCTCTCCATTCTGCTTAGCCCCATCTCTGGAAAATAAATTCTTTTCAACCCTCCCTGGTTGTGAGACATCATGACCTGCTGGGGGCCACAGAGCACATAACCTCCTGAGATCTTCAACCTATGCATACAGCAACATAGCGAGAGAGCCTTTGGGCTTGAGGGTATTTGCTGGTAGCAGCCTCCTTGGGGGCTCAGCACTTGTTACTCTTCCTCCTTGCTTTGGTTGTTTCTAGCTTGGATACCCACAGACGGACTCCTAGGGGCCTTGTAAGCCAGGCCTTCCCCAGGCCAACATGAACCCTTCCCATACAGTGTATCCAGCTGCTTCGGGGGGAAAACACATGACAGAGTCTCCTCACTAACATGGACAATCCAGGAGGCCAGGGAGTCTTTCTAAAGCCCTGCCAGAACAGGCACTTCATAAACCTTTGTTAAATGGATAGCAGCTCAGGGTATGCAAACAGTTAATTTGTTGGGTTTGATGAAGGCATTTTTTCAGTAGATTCAGGGAGGGTGCCAGGTTGATATGTCCTAATATGTTATTTTCATAAGCTTACTAAGTTTTATTTAAAAATCTTTAAACATCATCTTTCAGGGCTATTTACTCATTTAGATGTGGGCTGTAACCATGGTGTTCTCTTGTGATTCATTATCTAATCTAGGCTAGAGCTTGTTTTCCAGAAAAGGTTGGTTTTGTAAACTCTCATACCAATCCTCCTCTGCCTTAAACGTGAATTTAAATGAAAACAAAAATTCTGGGACGGTCTGTAATGGCACCACATCTAGGGTACGGCAATACCAGAGTTGAAGGACTCCTTAGTCCAGGAATTATTTGTTGAACCAAAGGCCGGTCAGCATGATGGTATGTAGCGAAGCCCCTTATAGTAACAGTTGTCTGTAACACTTGGGTTCTTTTAACAAGAAATGTAGACAAATAGAACTAGGGCATAGCTTAAATGCCTGGAAAGAATTTAAAATAGCATTTAAGGACTGAAATCAAAAGGAAAGCCTCTATCAAATGTCTACTCCTATGATGAGACAATTTGAGGGCAGGTTCTCCACTCTTTGGAGTGATTTCAATTCCGAGGGCAAATGTCCACAGCTTTTTTTTTTTTTTTTGGAGGAAGATTAGCCCTGAGCTAATTACTGCCAATCCTCCTCTTTTTGCTGAGGAAGACTGGCCCTGAGCTAACATCCATGCCCATCTTCCTCTACTTTATATGCGGGATGCCTACCATAGCATGGCTTACTGCCAAGTGGTGCCACATCTGCACCCAGGATCCGAACTGGCGAACCCCGGGCCGCCGAGAAGGGGAACGTGCGAACTTAACCACTGCGCCACCGGGCCGGCCCCTGTCCACGGCTTCTTAAGGAAGAAATCCAGAGACCATGGAAAAGGGTAAGGAAGTTGCTTTAGACAGGTGTCTGCATTTTAGTGAGTTCTCATTAGTTGGAAAGAAAAGAGAATGCCACACACCTCTCAGGCCAGAGAGGGTCTCTGCAGAGTAATTTATGGATTCCAATTATCAGGCAAAGGTAGAAGTTCTTATCAGATCTTAATGGTGACTAAGAAACTTCACTAAGCAGTACATCAGAACTTTAGTCAACAGTACATTATTTAGGGCAAAATATCCATAACAATTTACTAAAACCATGTGGCAAGAAAAAACTAACAAAATAGTTTTCAGAATTTTGAACAGACTCCCTTTTTTCCCATTTTTAAAACTCAGACTACTTCTCAAACAACTTACTTAAATATTAATGTTGATCAATAGGTTGCTCCAACCCAGGGAGGTGGCATGAACTAGAAACTTAAGCTCTTGCTTAAGAACCAGACTCAATTTTTTTATTTGTAAAGTTGAGACAATACAACCTATCCTGCACATCCATTATGAAAATTAGCTAAAACAGAGAGCCTAACACAATGTCTAATATTTAGAACTTCCTAAGTGGGAACTCCTTATAAATGTAAAAAAGCATATTTTTCAATGACTCTTCTTAAGACAAAACGCTATATTATAATCAAAGGAAAGAAACCAGAGTAGCTTGCAGTTTCTCTTACTGACAGCGAATGGCTAAGAGGTAGTATCTTTCTAAAAAGATCTACTTGCTCCAATTTCCAATATAAAAACTGTATACAGATTATAAACTAAGAACACAGGATGGAATAAACGGCCACATCTAGGCATGCAGACTTTCAGTAAATTTAATACATTTTATTATTTGATTTAATAAAGTTGCCCCTGTCAAATTCTTTCAACTCCTGAGAGGTGATTAAGATGCTTTTAAGATTTCATCTGAAATGTCCCTCGATGCTAAAAGGTTGTGCTAAAACCACACAATGATGGAAAGCAACCATATTTCCCCAGGTCTCTGCACATCAGCAAAGAGCATTTTCTTCAAACCTTTATACACGCAAAAACAGTAGTTCTGAACCTATAATTTAGCTTCATTACTTTATAAAGACAACAGAAGCAGAGCTATTAAGTGACTTGTCAAGGTCATGTTACTTCAAATATCACAATTTTTGAAGGCCAAAAAGGGCAGATTGTGAAAACTATAAAAATGAACTTGACATTGATCAAATTCCAGGGCAGATTAATAAGGAGACAGTACGTGAACAGTCGGAAGAGAAGGTAGTATGGCTTCACTAAGAATGAGGCATTTCTAGCTAACTTCATTTCCTTTCTGGATTTAACATACTAGCAGATTAGGCTACTTCCACAGACAGCGCAATCTGCTTCTTGGCCCAAACATGACATTTCTTACAAGGTCCTTTTAGGAAAGATGAAGAAACATGAGCACGTAAGTGACTGGCAGTTGCTTCAATTGTACCCAAAGTACTGATTAATAGATCAAAGTCACCTGAAGGGCAGTCTATAGTGGCATTCTGAAGAGGGTCTGTATTTCATCCTGTTCTATTCGATATTAATCAATAACTTGGACAAAGCCACTAAATACCAAAGGCATGTTTCATCAAAATTGGAACTGACACAAGGCTAAGAGGAAGAGTCAGAATTCATAAGGACCTTTACAAGTCAAATTCAGTAAAGATGAATGCAGTCCTTCAATTAGGTTAAGAAGAAACTGTATAAGTAATTATTAGGAGCAGACTTGGCTTACCAGCAATGCCTGTCAAGTTCAGCAAGGAACAATGTGATATACTTGCCTAATAACGATGGTGATGATGATAATGTCAACATACATCACTCAGAACAGTCAATGAGAATCACTTTCAAGTTGGCAATTATGCCCCTGGACTCTGCGCTAGTCGGACCTTAGAAGAATTGTGTTTAGTTCTGAGCACCAACATATTTTAAGAGAGGGACTGAAAGAGCCAATGCCGGGCTGGTCTTGAATAGATATCATGTAAGATCTGAGAAAAGTGTGACACCTGAGGGAAGATATGAAGAGGTGGCCATGCAGAAGAACCTTTCTCTCTAGGTTCACACATGTGCTATATATAGGACATTGGGTGACACTCTTCTAACAATGAAATCCATCCCTTCTCTGGGTACTGAGTGGCTCCAACACTAGGAGGAGTAGCTGGATGAAAATCGCATGACAAAATCACTATAAAAGGATTTTGGCCCTGAAGAGGTGTACCATTGCTGTTTCTAGCTCTGAGACTGTATTTTTCTAGGACATTTATACTGTTAAGAGAGAATCAGAATTCTAAACTCTAAAGCTTCTAAACAAAATGATTAGTTTTCTGTTAACTTAACGTGGTCATAATCTAACAGCATTCAATTTACCCTTCTGAAGTGGGTGAGGTCTTTGAATCCTTTGGAAACCACGAGGAATCTTTTTAAACAGGCACACTCAAGACTCCCATGCCTGATTTGGAGGAAGCACTGAAGAGAGATGGGCCTCCTTCCTGGAACTGAGGGTTTCTGCGGTGCTGAGTCAGTGTGGAAATCAGGTTCTGCTGAACCTACAAGGTTGTTAAGAATGTTAGGCGGGAGAGGGCAGGGACTACTCCTTCAGACCCCTGCCAGAAGGAAGTCCATCAAACACTGCTGTACAGCTGGGCTCTCTGTTATAGCCTTCTTAGATCACAGTTCAAGGACTATAAAATCATGTACTCAGGAGCCTATTCCAGACTTCTTTAATAGCTGTGTTCTTTGCCATTAACACTAAATCCTCCACGGGTTATATTATAGAAGTGATATGACTGCACAATTAAATATTAGAAATGACCACTGAGTATATCCTGTTTATTGTTTATGATTTACACGGAAAATGATGGATTGGGGTTGTAGAACAATAAACCAATCATTACATTTAGACCTGGGCATTTGAAAAACTTGCATTCCATTTTAACAGTTCATATATATTTAACAGCTTATATATAAATCCAGATCACAAATAATCTTAAGAATTAGAAGCTTAGAGATAAACAATTAAGAAACACAAAAGAGAACCACAAGGATTTACCTTTAAATATCAGCATTGATATTACAAGAAAGAAGAAAATGTCTAAAAAAAATAAAATTATTAGGTTAAGTCACTTAACATATAATAGAGAAATAAGAGAAAGAACGTTTTTATTAACATTTATACCTATTTCTAATTTACCTTCATATATTCTGATCTTTTTCAAAAGGATCCAAGATGTGATCAAAGAATATTTTGGCGTCTAAACTTATCAGCTTCAGTTTCTTACAACGAAAACCTTAAAATCTCAATTTTCTTTAAAAAAAAAATCTTACAACTCTTACTCAACTTTTCTCTTTCATAGCAGCTGTTTATAGAGAGCAGGGAGCCAAGAATGAAGGACAGAAACAGATGGAAAGCAAAAGTACAACAGCTATCTTAAGTTCAGCTCTCAACACTGCTGGCTGAGTTTGGAACCAAAACCTCTTAACAACTGGCAGATAATAGCTAAGCCTTAACAGGCAAAAAGAAATATTTTCTTTGGGACAGCTGCTATCTAGGAGAAGAAAACCAAGGTCCCTTAATACTGCCTAAATAGAACGTGTGGCTTATTACAGAGAAATCTGTAGCAATGTCAATTTAACCAGTAAGTGTCACAACTGATCAATATTACTTAAAGGAAACAAATAACAACAACAAAAAAATCACATTAGCCACAAATTTCCAGAAACAAAACAAAATTTAAAAAATCACACTAACCACAAATTTCCACAATATACACAGAATTAATTTTAATCTGATCTGACTCCTTGACACTAACTGATCATCAACGAAATATGGCATGGAAAGATCACAGAGTAGAAAACAAGCCAAGATTAGTTTATATAACAGTGACTATATACATCAGAAGAAAAACATGCTAGCTAATGCAACATTAAGGCCTGAATATAAGCATTTCCAAAGTCACAGAAGCCCCAAAGAATCCCTAAATTACAAAGTCACCACATTACATGCATGCAATGTTCAGTTTTGTTTTACCCATAAAAGGATACACAGTATTTTGCTGTAAATACCAGACACATTTACAATATATGCAAAAATTAGAATGCAAGTGTTATGTTCCTTATATTTAAGCCTCAAATGTGCCAAGAGTGAAAATTCATTTATTTTTAAGAATGGAGAAAAGGGATGGAATATAAATAGAGAAATTACACAAATAAAATGGAATTTTGCATTTGGGAAGCCATATAAATATTCCTTTTACATGTCCAACCTAAATTATCAATGTACTACTTGCATGGATGTACACTCACTATGTGCTTTACTATTTTACTTGCTCAAATAAGGTATTCTAACACCCAGCATTCTCTGGTGTTGACATCAAATCTGTAAGTTAAATATGACATCCATGTTTGTACATACTTGCCTATTGGGTGTGATCACCTAAAGTGGAAAGCTATACAATCTTAGTTTGGGGTTATATAATTACAAAGATGACCCTGTGGGTCAAATTCCCATAAAAAGAATAAGGAAAGCTGATTTCCTCACTTTTGTAGAAGCTTGTGAACAGCTCTTTTTGAGGGTAAATCTGAGCTCAGGATCTTCTTTTCTCTTTTACAGAGAGGAAAACAAAGGAAACATGTTAAACGTTCAGTTCTGTTCGCACAGTCACTAGGCAATCATATAATCTACTGCCTTTTCACCATTGGCTTAATTTGAAACTATCTACTTTTGTTTTAGTCCAGGTAAATAATTTTACCAAAATAAATTAGTGTAAAGAAACAA